GTTTGAACTGTACTACCCATTGAAAAACAACGTTTCCTAGTTATTCAGATATTTCCTCCACACCTGAAAATTTCTTCCTGATTATATCAATATCATGTGCAGAATACTTGATTGATAGCTATAAACTTTAGGGAATACTAAAGAATCAATAATTAGAGCAACCGTGGTGCATGCTTCTTATGTTTGCAAATATAAGTATTATGAAACACCAGTTGGAAGTGGAATACCTGCGAGTAGAAGGTTGAGAAAATTGGCATGAAGAAAAGAGAGAAGAGAACTGAAAGTAATCAAGCTAACAAAAGAAATGAAGGAACAATGACGCTTGTGAGAGACAATTGAAAGATTATGTGCATATGATATATTTGATCTATGTTTTTCATATTTTGCTACACTACTATGTGATTGTGCATCAAACAATAAATTGGGTTTCCTCACCTGAAGTCTTCGTTCCCTGCATCTATTGTAACTACCAAAAGAGAGGTGGAGAGGGTGAAGTCAAGCGGGCCCCGTAGTAAGCCAAATGAGGAGGTGCTAGTTAGGGCGTTTTGTTTGACGGAGAGGAGTGTTACGTCCGAGCACCGGACGGATGTCGGATGTAAATGGCCTAGCGGGTCGACATTACTACAGAGGTCAGTACGCCGGTTGGCTCGAAATTTCTGCGGGAAGCGTAGCGCAAAATAAAAGGAGGGAAGCGGGGCGGCAATCAGGATGACTGTCTAAGGGGGGAACACTAGTGTGGTGTATGCTACTTATATTGACAAATATCAGTAGCATGTATCACCTATTGGAAGTGGAGTGCATGCTAGCCGAAGATTGAGAAGATTTAATGGAAGAGAACAGAAAGGGAAGCAGGGAGTAATTGCAATCACAATAGGGTTCAAAGAATGATGAAGTATGTAAAAGGCAACTGATGGAAAATATGCAAATTATGTATTCAATGTATGATTTCCATACTTTACGAAAGGACTCTGCAATTTTGTACTAAACAACAAAATGGTTATTTCCACCTGGATTCTTCTTTCACTGCAATACTATTAAGTGTGCTAGGGGGATTCGGAGTTCCAATGTTCTGATTGTGTTCTATAAAGATAATGTATCATGTGGTAAAATAATCTGGAAGGAACGGGTTATATTGCTATTATTGTTAATTTCCATCTTCACTATGGAGTACCGAGTTTCCGGAATCAACAATAATTTTTCTCGAAATAGTCTCTGTATGATCATTTACTACTGTCTTACAATGTTGTCATGGTACAGCAAGATGAATGTTACGATAGAAATATATGGTTAATGTTCGGTGGAAAATAATAATGGGTTGAATATTTGGACACTTGACTTGATACTAAAGTATTGAATATTTTGGTTAGTTATAAAATTATTTCAGATATACATATTACTTAGAGTGTGTATAACATTTATCATAATCAAAATATCACTATAAACGGCGTACTTTATATATTAGATAGCTGAAAATAACCAATGAAACACTTTGGGTTTTATGCAAGGTTTTACTAGACTGGCAACTAGGTTCGGCGAGGTCCTTTGATAGGACTTGGCCATCTGTAAAGAATAAGAATAATGACTTAAATTAATACGGGGTAATTTATTTGTAGTGTAAAACGTATTTTTATCGTTATTTGTTCTACAGGCTCTTTTCCATGTACAAGGTAATCAAGTGTTAAGTGAACACATATTAAATCCATTAGGGTCAATGCAAATGACAGAAGATACAATTGTACAACGATCAAATATGGCGAGTCATCAACAGAATAATACTTCTGACAGCAATCAAAGTGTTCGTTGTGAAGCATTATGGAACCATAGTAATTCAACAAATATTAAACGTCCAACAGCAGAAATAACTACTGATAAAAAAGTTGGAATTATTGAAAATTCACTTCTTGAAGGGTATTCAACACGTAATGTCACTGGTGAAAAAATTAGTCATAAAAATCTAAAACCTAGCCTTGAGAATATAAAAGTACCTAATATATACACATCATCGTGCATATCTGGAGTCGAAAATTCTTCAACAAGTTCGAATGAGTCACATTTAATTTGACTGCTTCAAGCCAATCATCAAAGAGATCAATAAAATATGATTATTATTTAACTTAATTCTTTCTTCAGTATTGCGTTGTTAGGTAACAATTAACTCATATTATAACAGTTTTATTAGAGCCTCTGTCCAAATCAAACTACTGAAGTATCACTTGTAATTTATTTGTCTTCTTCCTTTGTTTTCATATTTTATTTCATGCTCATTACCATGAGATAGAACATATTTTACTTGAGTTATTGAAAAGGTTATTGAGTCGACTCACATATACGGCGCTAAATCTGTTAGTACTGTACATGTCTCCATTACGATAAGAATAAATAACAACAAAAACAGACTCGAAACTATTTTTTTGTGTTCTATCGTTCTCACCCCTTGTCAGTTAATCAGATTTTAATTTTTATTATAGAAAATTAAGATTACAATCAATCAGTTAGCGTTTATCATTACTGTCAAACTCCTTAGAAAATATATCATTTAAATTTGATAACTGATCGTTCTAACTAACTGTTCATCTTTTTGGGTCGCTTTATTGAATACCAAATTAACTCAACGTGATTTTAAATATTTTTGATCCTAGTTTTTCCTTGTTGTGTGCTTGAATTTGCTTGATAAGGCAATACCGAAAACCTTTTGAAATATTTCGGTAACGAACATATTTCAAACAGTGTCGTCAGCAGCCTATGAAGTAAGGTCTGGAACCTGTGTATATTGAATTATATGATTCACGGATTGATATAGCGATTAATTATTGAAGTGAGTGGATTGATTAAACGACTTATCGTAGTGTTATATGGCTTGTATGCATCGATGAGGGGAGTAATATAATGTTAAGTAACTATTGAGACAGGAAAAAGCATCACACATGCAAGCTGTGCATAGACAGAAACCTATAATTAATTACATGAAGAAGCACAAATCAATAGGAAAATAAGGGTACCAAAATGGTTGCAAAAACAAACCAAATAATCCAATACGAGATCATAAACATCTATCGTCCTCTGTCGCTAAACACGTAGTTGAACAGGTCAAAAGCTTTTTATTCATATATATTGGTTGTTTAGAGCTTCCCAATCATATTTAGGGCTGCAACTGATCAGTTTCTTTTGGTATACGTGCTTCCTGTGCCGATCGCTTTGATATAACCTGAAAGTCTAATATATTGCATAATTCTGAAAACATTCGTCTTCTTATTGCATTGCCCACAATTGAATGTCACATAAACGTTGTTTTATACCTGTTCAAACAAGCATTAACTTGCGTAGGTGTCTGTTCTAAGCGAATATAAGGCCGTTACAGCTTTCGGTTTATAATTAATTATATAAGGATCAATATATATCATTGTTGAAATACGGATTTTGTACATAACTATATATTGCATACGTTAATATTCTTTCTTATGAAACGTGAGTGACCAGAGACAATAAAAATATTCTTACTGAATTGGAATGGTCCTCAGCTCTTCTGTATCAAATTCGTTTGATGCTGTAGATTATTTTTAAAAGATGCCTCATTTCTATGTGAGGGTATCCGAAAAAAAACATGTCTTCTGGTATGTCAATAAAACAACTGGTAAATGGACATTATTATTGGTATGGTGGACTTGTGGAGGTCGTAGTATTTTCATAACTGAAATCACGAGTTAATCTAAGCTAGACCACAATTAAAAACCTTGCAGCACTGGACGGCTGTTTCAAGTTCCGCTTGCGAGGTCGTGAATGAGCACTGCTGAGTCCTATACTAGAACGAAACGACCCTCCAGTGTTTCCAATGGTGGTCTAGGTTAGATCAACTCGTAATTTCAACTGTGAAAGTGAACACCATGACTGAAATATCTCACTCATTCTCATTTGTCTCTATTGCACAGTTTGAAATTTTTATTGCAGAACTCTAGAATGTGATTCATTTTACGCAACCTTATAGTATTTGATGTGCTTCTATCCACACGATCGGAGAAAGCGGTTTTGAAAAGTCTATGAGGACAGCTTAATTTCAGTCTATAAGTTAACTGAATACTAATAAGTGAAGAAGTAAGTCGTTCGGCATCTAAATGTTGGGTTGTAATTGTGAAAAATGAAACTATCTGCATCATTTTTTATAGTATGGGAGCTTCCATACACAAAGGGAATGCACAAATTTGTACATGGTTGCTGACGTACGTCACTAAATAATTTCGGGGCTCAAAGTTGAAGGGGAATTACAAGCTGTTCTGTGTACATAGATTTTTTAGTTTATTCATTCCCGACATATCCACTATGAAGAAGTAGGTTCTTGTTTCCCAACCTACATTACTTGTAGTGTGAGATCTTCATCTGTCAACCAATGGGTGTTTTACAACAGTCAGCTCTTTATTACCCTATGAAACATAGCCTTTAAAAATGGAAGATTAAGGTTTTTGACTATAATTATTTCCGAAGCACTGGTCACGTATTGTGGAACGATCCAGTGAGCGATAATGGGGTTAGGTATAGGACACTAAGCAAAGACGGAAAGTCGGTTGAGGAGGCTGTGGATTTTTATCGACTGTGGCTAGGATGCGCAAGTTGGAAGAAAGCTAAGTTCGTCCGGCCCAAGATGTAACATTGGCTCATGAAGGAACTAATTGCTCGTCGAACCATTTTGATAGATGAAGGTTACCTGGTTGGGGTCCGCGTTTGGAGACTTGGGGTGACATGTCTCTGATGTGGATGAATGAACTATTTTCTTCTAGATCTTGAGTTTAAGTATTCGTTTTTCTATATTCTCAATGCCTAATCCATTTTATTAACATTGTTATTATACCATCTTGACTCGTTCGCTATTAATTGTGTTAAATTCATATGTTTTGCGAATTTGGTGTAACTAGTGCTTACGAACATTTGCGCTAGGCAAAACATATTTACGCATTATTATCACTACTACAAATATTATCCCAAATCTAAGGACGACAAGAGGACTAAGGTATAATTCAAGAATGTATATTACCAATAACGGCAAAAATGTACATGCAAATGGAAAAATAAAATGTTAAAATCGAATTTTAATAAGTGGTAGTCCTTGTGAATCTGAAACATGTTTTCTACCAGTTAAAAATAGAGTTCCTAAGTGATCAACAGACTGTTTCAACGATTGTACTGAATCGGTGGTAACCTTTAGTGGACATCTGCACATGTAAACTAATTCATCCCCACGTTGACTTTCTGCTAACATTGATCTATAAACGGAAGTTTAAGATAATAAATGTAATAGGTATGTAGGAATACAAATTTCATTTAGCAAGTTACAAGAACTGATCAAAAGACAAAAAGTGCCACACAGCAGAGAAGCCAGTTCCACGCTAAATAACATGAGGATCAATAATCTGATAATAATTTTTAGTATGAAACTGTTGAGATAGTTGAATTCTATCGAAATCACGAACCGATCTAACTTGGGCAACCATTGAAAACCTAGAAGCGCTGGACGGCCGCAACCGGTGAAATTAGTGTTAGATGTGAGGAAGATATCCATTAAAGACAGTGGAAGATGGTCGCGCAAGATCGTTGATTGATTTAAGTTAGATTTGTACACAATTAGTACCACATGCATTAAAGGTTTGCCCATGAAACTCAACGTCGTGGTTTCGATTTCTGGTTGTGGGTCGTGGATGGGCAACGCTGAGGAGTTCCATACCAGAGCGAAATGGCCGTCCAGTGCTTTCAACTTTTCGATGGTCGTTTAACTTAGATCAGTTTGTGATTTTACATGTTCGCACAAAACTGTGTACATTGGAAAGACAGGCATCTAAATGGTTCACTGACTATATTCCAAAGAATTTTCATCTCAAAAGCCATGACAGTGGTAAAGACTCAAATGCGTATGACCTTCTGGGTGCAAGTTAGGCATAGTTCGAATCTTCACTATTAGTGTTCGCACAGACCATGATAATTAGAAAACTAAAATATATTCGTATTTACGGCTACTGGTTAGACTTTAAGTGCCTTGACAATACAAATGAACAAAGAGAGCATTTTCTTATTCACACTGATTATGAATTGGTGTTGAACTCAAAGTTCTAGCATGTTTTGTTACGTAATGCAATAAAAATCACATTATTTCTAATTTCACGAAAAGTATTTGAATTTAAACTGTGTTTACATTTCGCTTCCAGAACAAATTAATGTTCTATAACTTATAATCCACTTCCTAAATCCTAAGTATATGGATGAAAACGTTTTTAGCATAACTGAGTTACAATACTGATAGTCATACTTTATTTTATCCTCCAGTTCATCGTAACAACAATCCGGAAATAAACCTGATAGATATATAATGTTCAGTTTTTCCAGCTTATAGACAGGTAACAGAATTTCATCTATAGTTTGTGCATAAATTGGTGACAGACTTGCATTGGTTAAGCATGGATTATCACTAGAAAAAGAAATTATAAATGGGAGAAAATAGTTTACAATGTTGATGAACATATTTAGTATAAATAAATTGGTAATGATTTTAATTTTGGAACATTGAAATACCAGTTGAAAAATGAAAGGTAATCATTAATGTCGGAGCTGTAGCACAATGCTGTAAGTGGTTAGGTAGTACCCATATATAGGCAAAAAGTGAATTATTTTTAGAATGCATTGGTACTTTTGTACGTGTAAGCTTACGGTAACTACCGACTGAGTGAATCGTTGTTGTCATATATTTCAAAAAATACATCCTCAGCAAAAAGACAATAACTTGCAGAAGTGTTACTCACCGTCAGATTGAATGGAACTTTCGGACGAATGCCCGAACATGGAGTTGGAAGCAAAGTATCGAAAGATGCACTACCTGTTAGACAATACTAGTTGAACTGGTAGTGTAAATAATCTAGATCTTAGTAATAAAACTAAACAACCAACAGGACTATTATTACTACCAATATCAGTATAGTAATATACAAGTGTCGTTTTAAAATAAACGCGGTATGGAGGTGAAGTTATACTATGATATATAAAGTGACTAAATAAAAAGTAATGTTTTAGAGGTAACTACGGCAAATTTAAGTCTTTATAGGACTTACTGTAGAACTAACACCTTCATAGTAATCAGAATCTTACGGAGTCGGCTGCTGTCCGAATAACACAGTAGTAACCCTGTTGGCCGTATTAGAGCCTGACACAAGTTTGAGTTTTACGAGGAGTACCAGATCTCTATATATTGTACTGAACCTAGATTCGAGGTAATCAATTGATTCCCTTCAATCCTAAAGAAACTGTTATCTCACTCGTAGGCCATACGATTCTAAAAATGAGCCAAATGAATTGAAGTATAATAACGAATGTGACTGGTGCATGTGTGCTAAGGGATACACTTTTTGCGTCCCAACGTCCATAAAATTTAGATGTAGAACTTACAATCAAGTGCACTTTTACATGGAACATATTGACTACTTTTTTGTTGTTATTGTCATTATTTAAGTGGAGCTTTTTCTGGAATTTTTCTAACATTTTCAAAACATTCAATGATAATTTCTCACCTTGGAACACGATTTGAAATAGCTGAATCAGGAAATGAAATTCCAGCTGCTAAATAAGATAAAACTGTTAATCCTAAGCGAATATTTACAATATTTAAAAAATCTGACGTTTTGTCTATTTCTGTGCATGTGCATGAATTTTCTTCTTGTTTTAGAGGAAGTTTGTCCCATGAAATTAGTTCTGGTATTAGTATAGGTGATCCAATGTAGTTGAACACTTCACATTGTGGTCGGATCTTTATTGGGGAAAAATAATAACAGAAAAAAGATACCGATTACAACAACATTGTTTCCGCTTTCTCCCTCTCACCAAAACAATGCAACTTGATGGTTTAATAGTCTAACCGTTTTATCTTAGGGTTATCTTATAGTTGAAATAATAAAATATCTTTGAATGAATTTATCAAAGTTAATTCAATATTAGTGTACGAAACTATTCAATTAGTTTTCAGTAGTTATCAACCATTAAATTACAGTCGAATAGTAATCCCGAAAAGTCATAACAGTGACTGGCACTCATGATTTTGAGTCGAGTGTGTAGTAAATAAAGTGATCTTTGTAAGATGTGATGTAACTGTTGGTAAACACTTGAAGTTAGTCAGTTATAAGCATCGTGGGACTGGACATGAGTGAATACTTAAAAACTATCAAGCAAGTAAGTATTCATATGCATAGAGGGATAAAAAAACACAAACAAAAGTACTTAATTTTTCAGCATCAAAAAAATCAAAGACTTGAAATCGTTTATGAAACAACTGGAGGTCTAAACACTAAATAAGAAATATTACTATAAATGAAATGCTGACCACAGAGTGTATAAAATGAAATAAAAGTAGAGGATCTGTTGGAGAAAGTTTACTTTGTAACATAAATCGGTATGGAACTATCAAGTAACAGTAATTATCCAATTTTCTAGCTCGTTCATAAACATAAATCTATATGTAGCTGATAATGATTTGGATATACATAAATCAATAGACAATATTAAAATTGTACTAATCTTTTATAAATACAAACTATCTACAGAACAGATATAAGTTACAACAATTAAGTATATTTGTCTTTGGATGAAGCGTTTTAATCCTAGTGGATTTGTAAGGATTAAATGAAGGAAATTATCTTACTGATATATTGTAACAACTGAGCAAGATTACAAAGGTATGTTAGGAACACCATTACCATTATTGAGTCAGTAAATTATTCAAATGTATTGCAAACACATTTAGTTTGCCTATCATATTTCTATAACTTCAATGCTATTCAGTTTGTGTACCCGACTTTCATTTAAGTTTTATGTGAGTGGAGGCTAGTGGTTTTATCCAAATGGAATGATCGGAGTAGTTGGAGAAGAGTTTAAACTTCTAACTGAATGACTGAAATTCATATCCGTTGATCACCAAGTTATTGATCCACTATTATATAATGATACAAATTGCAATGCACTGAAAGTACTTAAAAAACTTAGAGATTATACTAACGTAGCCGTATGTAAAATGGAGGATAATGAGAACAAATACTCATCACCTTATTAATGTTGAGAAAACTATATCAATACAATCTCCGATTACTTGTGCGGAAGAAAATCTCACTGCAAAACATAAACTACACGTTCACTTTAGTCAACACTTTAAGTTAATATAAACATATTTTCTGCAAATCTGTAAACCTGAAAAGTATAGGAGTAAATAATGCTTTTCAATGAAGATTTATGAATATACCGTTCCATAAAACGTACCACGAGATGTTCTTTGTCATTTAAATATGAAGCAATGGATTCACTTTTAGGGAATTCATTTATTTGTGTGACTGAGGAATCTGGTAACCAATCAACAAAGAAAGGACCAAGATTTCCAAGGCATCGAGGAATACGAGTGCCCAATTCTAGGGGGTTTGTAAAAGCCTTGAAAAATGATCGAAGACGTGTATGTACTGGTCCATTGCGCTGAAACTGTGAACTTTTTAAATCGACTTGAAATCCTGAACAAAAGAATGATAAAAGAGATTAAAAAGTTTGAAAACAGGATAGTAATTATGTTTGGGTTACGTTTCAGTTATATTTTAGAAAAGTATGCGAGGGAAAAGATGGTACGTATTTTATTGAATTAAAACGAGTGAAAGATCATGGACGTGATAACCGAATCTAATATAAACGTGTTAGTTACTTTGAACACCTTTTTTAAATATCCCGACTATCACTTTTATAATAGGAATACTAAAATTCTTTAACACTAAGGTCGAAAATCCCTTTAATTAATTTTATTTTGAAAATACAGTAAGTCAATCAAATTATTTAAATTGGATTTAGAGACGAGTATACCCTATGCAAGTAAGTAAATCAGTTAAATAAAATTTTGAGGTATATCTACACTAGATTTTTCTAACATATGAAGAGCAAAGAAAACCAGTTGACAAAATAATATATCACAAAGTTGAACTGAGTGTTAGTTGAGTAGGTGAACATATGTCACTTGAGGTCGCTAAAACCTTATGGATGCCCTAATAATTAATACCTTTAATCTGGGGAATAAAATTGGCGGACGATTCAAAAGGAACTGATCAAAATATGATAATAATGGATAACACTATTGATTACAAGTTTGTGCTACATGGAGATTTTTTATCTTATTGTTCAGATACATAAACATCGGTACAAAGGGGCACCAGAAAATATGTGCGCCATACAAAGTAGCTATCATTCATTTTGTGTGTGGGCTAAAATACTGTCCGGGTGGCAAAGCACAGACGATTGGTTTTTTAGGTCGCTCTCTGAGCCCTTGACTCAGAGATCTAATCGTCAAGGCAGTGGAGCAATGTTGGGAGATGCAGCCCCATGGTAACCGCTGACCAAGAATACATTTATATGCCACTTGTCCCCTAAAGATTCTGGGGTCCATATGCACCATTAGTTTGGGATCAGGGTTTTCTAACTCCCCCAAATGGATCCTCTGTAACCACCAGCTCGGTTTAATTGCTGAACATTCGCTTTTTGTCCTTCCAAATTTGTAAACAACACCGCCACGAGAAGGAAATGGTCATATACACGTAACCATATGAGAGCATTTCAAATGAGTGGGCTCTCCCCACCCCCAGACGTACCAGGGATTTGATGAATTATTGCGTTAAAAGATGAACGTTTAATTATTTCAGCTTCCAGTTTAAAAAAGGTCAGAGATATTTTAGACACTCACTGCTATTTTTTGTAGATAGTTGCCTGCCTTTTAAGTGTTGATTTTAATCTAGTGCAGTGTCACGTATAATAAACTGATCAGGTAAATTGTATTGTTATACTAAATGAAGAAATACATAAAAACACTGGTCCCCGGTTGCATAAATCGTAGTAGAGGGATTGGGACCCAAATTACTGAACTGGCGAAAACTACGAAAAATTATAGTTTCTATGGAAATTTATTTGGATAGACAAAAAAGACGAATTACTTAGTATAGAATGTGTAAGGAACTTCGTCAGTGATGCGAGAAATATGACCAGGAAATAGCAAAAGAACTCACGATAGAAAACTTTCTTCTTTTCTTGTTTAACTTTTTTAGCGGATAATCCAAAACCAGAGTACACAACTGGAGACATGTCCAAGGTTAAAATAGCTGGAAAGTATCATAATGAATCACAAAACAAGAGTAATTTGCCTGTATAACAATTGGGTAGAAAAGGTTAGTGTTAGTTCTTTCTTCGATGTTTGAATAAGTAAAAACAACGACTCTGCGAAGTATTTTTTTAAAAAGGAAGAATTTGATGAGACTATAGTTTTCAGAATATTACAACCAATGTCAAAATAAACTGGTCAGATATACAGTTAACGCGAATAACGTGAAATAGTAATAATAATGACCACTGAAAAACATATATATGTAGTGAACGAGAATACAGGTGGTGATAACCGATTGTATTTAAATACAAAATTACAGAATCTCTTAATAAGATATGAAAACCACTTAGAAATCTTCATTTTTTGTCCTTCACAATATGCATGATTCTTCAAGTCCACGATTCCTTTCTATTTTCCCCTCGATTCTCCTCAACTCAATCTTCTTAGCCTTCTGTTGTTAGGTTTTCCACTTCCGATTGGTGTTACATACTGCTTATATTGACAGACATAAGTAGCATACGTCACACCAGCCCCCACTTAAAACGGTCGTTCTGCTCGCCGTACCACCTTCTTCTTTACTAGTTTGTGCCACACTCCCTGTCAAAATGTTGATTCTGCGGTACGCTGACCTTCGTAGCTCCGTCGACCTGCCGAGCCATCAAAATCCGATTTTCACATCCAATGCCCGCGCTCCAGAGAATTATGTCTGTCGACATAAGTAGCATACACTGCACATAGAATAGGTTTTCACAGGTTTTATTAGATATATACAAGAAGCAGCTCCGCAAAAGTGTGCCACTGTTTAACCTGTCTGCGGACTGACTTTAGAAATATACCAATCATGAGCTAACATATTTTTTGAAAAGACATACCCGTGCACTTTCTTATAATTTCGATTGAAGTGTTTAGTCTTTATGAGGACACAATTACGGTAACTTAATTTTTTTACAAATGATAGATAATACTATGTAAGTATGAAACTCTTAGGTTGCCTACTTAGATACACTTACTCTATCTCATAGCCTTATATATTACTGTATAGCAGTTCTCTTTGTGTGTTGCTAAATGGATCTTCGGGATTTTAATAGCTAAATTTTTATTGTTTTTATACATTATGAACAATCGAGAATATACGTTCATCTAATTGATTTGCATGTACACTTGATTTAAGTCATGTTTCATGTGCGAGTACAAAATAAAATTCCTGACAAAATGTATGAGTTTTTCGTTACAATTTTGATTATCGTTGGCTTAAGAGATACTCGTAAATCGAGGATTATCGCATTGCACTCAGAGTTGGATACACTTGACATGCCCAACAACCGTTTAATGAAGGTTGGTAGACAACGGTTTGAAGACAGATACACTAAATTACTTGTAGATTCATGTATTTTGCTTTTGGCTGTTGTTTCTTACAGCAATACATAGAATAGATAGGACTGTGGATTACATACTAAAATTTAGAATATACTGGCACAACGACTGCAGCAGTTCCTGGAGTTGCACTAAAATCGCTTCATTGACCAGTATACTCAGTTTAGAAGCAAATCTTCATGCACTGGAAACACTAAGTGGATAGTTATAACAAAACAGAGTGAAGAAGTGGTCAGAGTTTTAACGAAGTCAACACCTCACACACCCTGTTTTGGAGTTGAACTCATGAGTAGCCTTTTACTTGTTCCTCTACAATCGTAACCACTATCAGATTTCCTTATTATAATATTTGTGAATGTTCTGTATTTTCGACATTAATGGTGATTTCTTCATTAGGAACCTAAAACTTGACTAATTATTGTACTGGGTAGTAATGAGCATTGAAAACTAGAAAGCACATCTTAAATTATCCGACACTCATCAATTAAATGAGCTAGAAACACGGTAAGGGATGACTTTTTACTGTGACTTAAATCTAGAACCTGTTGTTTATAACGTCCCAGAATTATCTTTTAAACTAATGAATAAAAACACTCATTTCTTGTTGAAAAAGTATTATTTGCCATTGGGTCTTCCAATCTATTGGTGATCTTTTTACTATTTGATTACTATGTAGAGAGCAAATTATACGGAGTTATATATAACCACTGATCAGAAAAAGGTGAAGGTCAATAAATTAAATAGGATAGGAAAAGACTTACACTTTTGAATAGAAAGACCAAACTCCGGCAATGGTTTTATAGGCAAAACTGTAACAGCTCCTAAAATATAACATTAAAAGAATATCACAGGATAGTAAAATATCCTGATGTGAACATAAAACTTGTATTATACAAACAAATTTTCTGGGTTAAGATAATTAAAAGAAATAGTTTAGTCACAGGATCAAAGAATATGCAGTTAATCTCTTGCCCACTTATCAAATATTAAAACAGTTCAACAGACTGCTGTATTACGATTAATCGTTTACAACCAATTTTAACAACTTTATTTCATAGTCTCTGTTTACCTACCACCTCTTAGGCAGTAATTGCGCTATTTACATAAATTCTTCAGTTTTTTTTTATTGTCATAGAACTTTTTGCGGAAGAAAAGGACTACTGGTTCCATATTTATGTGTAGAATTATGCAGTTAGCAAAGATAAACTGAAACAATATTTAAAAATGTATCTTCGAAATTGATGGGGAATCCACTAACTGATCACTGAGACTTGCTTTCATCTTTCACTAAGTGACCGTTATCCGAAAATAACTTATAGTCATATCTTGACTGTAGAATTTAGTCAGTTGACAATGGGATAATTTATTTGGATCTCGAAAATAGATCGGTTTATTGAGTCAATACACCCGTAAGTAACTGATAACCTCAAACAAGTATACCTCAGTCAGTATTCATTACTGGTTTCTTAAATAATAGGGACACTATAAGACAAATACCTTCAGATATATGCAGATAATGCGGCATATTTTGCATGAAACTCGAATGTTACAAACACGGACTAAAAATAATGAGCACGACATTAGTTTAAGAGCATTTTCGAAAATGAAGCGCCATGTTATAAAAACTATGATGACACTAAAATATATGGTGATAAAACCAATTTTCGCGAAGTTAAATGAAACAACTAAGAGTATATTTGTTACCGGGTACTAGCGAAATGGGGGATGGCAAAAAGACGATCAATATGTAAGGACTTATGTAGGTATCGAATAGAACTTGGTGAAAGCCATAATGCTGAGTTACAAGTCAACAGACACTACTAAAATAAGAAAGCGCTTCAATTATTACAAATCCGTGTATGGTTATCAAAGAAAACCCCAGTAGCTTTCGTCAAATCTTAGCTTGTGCATTTCAAGAACACTATCTTTAAAAGGCGTTTACTTTATAAGATGGTTGAAACTAGTTAGATTATCTAACTTAGCCTCGTCTGATAACCACATAGTTTTATCAGCAATTAAAACATGCAATGCATTCCACAGCACAGACCTATATGCACCATACTTTGACTTTCCATATCTTGTAAATTGAAAAGAAAAATCACATTAACTGATATTTTTAATATCACTAATATTACTTCTTCTTAGATTCAACATACCTCGTCGACAAAATCCTGCAATAAACTGTTCCTCCATGAGTTTAACAGGATCCAGCTGTATGATAATACTGGAATTTTTAAATTGTTCAACAAAAGTGACAAGACTTTTTGTTACACCTTCATGTTCTGTGATAAAGATAATCTGAAAATATTACACTAGCAATAAAATGGACTGTACATTTTCCAGGAGACGAACCATGTTGTGTAAAACCCGGTTCCTGACTAAAAATTTGGATGTCATGAGAAAGGCTTATGGAAATGTGAACAGAAATATCAATGATAGTTAACTCAAATGATAAAAGAACCCAGTATAAGAAAAGAGCACAACATAAGATCCTTTACTAGATACAAAAAACATTAGATTTACTAGTAAACATTTATAAGATGTTCAGATGGTTAAATACCGGGAATACTAGCGAAGTTCTGCTGTATTTAAGAATGAGATGTTATCGAAACTTCTGAACTGCCTGGAAACATCGATCGTGCTTAACAACCTACTCCTGATAATTTCACCCTGGGCCTCGATACTTAATACAACACTCAAGTATTTGAGATAATCTATCAATATAGGCAGTTTGAATTTCCATACCCAAATCCTTCCTAGTGGTTAATCAGTTTTGTATTGACAATATGTATTAAAAACAAATGAATGACCACCAAACGTATTCATCATTTGCCGGACGGTTTTATTGGCAATGAGGTAACACGAAACTAGAGTAGTGTATATACAGTTTTCTGGAAAAAAGTATGTAGGGAAAGTAGCATCGTGGATGTTTTCTTGTATATTAAACGAAGGATGTGCATGCCATGAGACCTTATCAAGACGAAATAACAACTTTACAACCTGTTTCCACATCAACTTCCAACTGTCGATGGCAGATTGACTTGTGCTCAAGCGTCAGCACTTGAAACCCAGATGAACTGGTATATGTATTCTTCAGAACTTGGACCATATTGAGTTTTGGAAGCGAGAATAATCCTAGGCGCTTGTATGAGTGCTTTTAGGATTTGGGAAGGATTAACTCTAGCTTGTGAAACTTCTACTGTAAACCGATGTAAAAACTTGATGTCATAGTATCTAACCACCTAAGCGAAATGTAGCTGTGTTAGTTCAAAAACAAATATTTTGATTGCCATATCATAGCTTCACTGGTTTAGCTCTAGATTTGTGCTACTAGGACGGAAAGCATGCGGTCTATGTTAATCTTTTTCTAGTAAACTTTTGAGTGTCAAGTCTTTTCTTGAATGAGTCAACTGAAGGGGTGGACACTTTTTCGGGTAACAGGTTCCAAGAATTGATGGCTCATTGTTAAAGCCTGTATTCTGTGATTATTTTGTCTGTTCTTGGCTACTATAGTCTACTTTTATATCTTCTAAGTTGTCCGAATCCCGTAGGAAGAAAAAAATCTAGCAGGTCCAAAATCACTTATTATTGTTCTGTACATCAAAATTAGATGATCTCTTAGTCTGCGGCAGAACAGAGTAAAGTCTAGCTTTTCAAGCCACTATGTGTATGAGAAGCTAGACCACTTTTTCCTATTTTAGAAAAAGTGGTGATCTGATCTTGATGTACAGAATATAAAGAAATGATTTGATTTTGTTGGAATCAAATTACACATTTAAGTCCAAACGGTTCACAAAGCTGTATTTTACATAGTAAGATAGCTCAACTAATATGCGAGTGGAATTTGCTGGTAAAATAGGATTTTATTAATCCTAATGTGGCTACTGCAACATCACGAGTGACTTATTTAAACTTACCTCTAGCACATGAAAAGCATATTGATGACCTTGCGCAATGTTTTCACTAACCCCGAAGAGTATTCAGGTACGGAACTCTTGAAATAAACTGGTAATAAAATTACACGAGATAAGTAGTGTTGGCAGTGAAGCTGAAATACACCACTGAAACTTATTATTTGTCAGTCACCTCAAGGACACAGGGCGTTTGACAAAACAGGGTTAGGAAGTAGTGTTAAGATATAGCATCAGGGCTTAAGGCTATAGTTTTCTTTTTACCACAAACTGACATGAGCTACAACGCAAGAGTCTTAGATTCTATATCCTAGGCCCTGATCTTAGTGTAGTAGGTAACTAACACTTATTGTCTCTTTATTGACCTAAAAGGATTAAGGTCGTTCGGAATTACGATTCAGTCCCATGGTTGAGGTTTTTAATGCAAACTGAGAGGATTCATAATGCAGGGGCTCTTTGAAGTCATATCAATGGACGAATTTTACTCAAACACACAAGACACCAATTAGGACTTCATGTTTTTGTTTATGAAGTATTGCGCTACCTCATTAATCTTCGATCTTCTTTAAAATTCACAGAGTTCAGGTGATCTGTCATGTGTTTCATATCTTTTTACCTTTAATTATTTTTACATGACGATTTAAAAATTTTCCATCGTTATTCTGGGAATCAGTCAAGTTCGTTCTTAGTCTTCAGTTTCACCATGTTTGCCAATCTTCGGAGTCTGAGCATCGAAATCTTGATAAATTTTATTGACCACCCATCCTATTATACACGTTTCTATTGGAAATCACAAGTATTCAGTGGTTCATTGGAGACTGTACAGGCTTCAAAATAAGACGATTTGACCTACTACTTGGACGAATTTTCTAACAGGGATCAAAGTCCGGTAAATGTACTAGGATAAGTAAAAATTTAAGAAACTATCTTTTACAACCTCTTCGGATACATATCGTATCCGTCCAGAATTTTTGAAGTTTGATGGCAAAACTTTCACCTTAAGGGAGGACAAGTACAATCCATTTACCACGGGTCGCTGTCGTACTATCTGCAGATGCTTCGGTTACGAAGTTCATTTTGTAAGACCTAATTCTCTAGACATATATTTTGGATAATATGGCTAGAACGTAAAGTAATTTGATGTATAAGTCACACAATATACCTGAACAGCTTTATGAGAAAGACTATACGGCTAATTGATGTTATTGAAGGTATAAAAATGCAAATTATAAAAACATCAATAACTACAGGCTAACCTTCGGTCAGACGATAAAGATATATCTGTAAACGCGAAGAACACGGTTTTAGCCTACTGAATAGATCAGTTTGATCTACTTGCGAGATTTCAACTTCACGGGGTTTCAGCGTATTTGTGCCGTTTGTTTTTTCAGTGACTCTCATTTGAGTTCAGATAGACTGAGATAATAAAGACCAAGACGTGATAAGGAGCAAAAAAGTTACAAAAGAGGTACAATTAGAAAAAATGCAGGTACGAACGAAACTAAGTATACCTGAACAATGCTTTATCTAATTGGCATAGACAACAATCTTGACAACACATGGAAGGCTTCGATCGTCACACATGAAAGAATATTCCCGTCTGTCAGAGAAAATTGCTCCTTGTAAATATAAGGGATATATTAGTTCAATTTGTCCTGTGAGCTATCAACTAAAAAATAAAAATTATACAAGAAATGCAACCAGCAAAAGATGTGTTAAGTAAAATAAAGATGAATCACCTGTCAAAAATCCCTACAACATCAAAAACGTAGCCTGTTATAAAGTCCGTCGACCAGGTGATGTTGAGAAAGAACTAGTACAATAGAATGCATCAAAAATGCAAATGAATGTCGGCACTCGACTTGTCATGTGACAGCAAGTAGTCATAATGTGAAGTTGCAGGTGTCACTGCAGTAAGCGTACAGCTCTTTCTATTTGGCTAACCGACTCAAATCACATTGTTTGAGATATACTTCAACGTGGTCATCCATATTTATTCCCTGCGCTTCCATCTGAGTCGTACACGGAAAACTGGCCCGAGTTTATACATCCACCCACACCTTTATATTTGGGTAGACTATTAGGTTAGTTAGGGTTGCCAAGTTTTCGCATTTAAGAGTTCTCGGCTATATAACACTATTACTTTCCCCATTTTAACGAGTAGCTATTTTCTCAAAAAAACAAAGCATATTCTGATAAGATCGTTGCTTGAAATAATTCAGAATTCGGGTGGTCACTAAGAAAACGTTAATTTTATGATTATGATTGGTTGTGATAACACAAATGGATCTTGCCCCGGATGATGTTTAAGTATAACTTGATTTGAAGTCATCTTTTGAAAATTCTGTCAGTTTACACATTACTAACTTTGGCCAAGACGATACACAACAATATAGTTCAAAGGAACATAATCGACAAATTGAAGACTACGTCTGAGACATAAATAATTGTCAGTCAAGCAAGTAGTAGTGGCAATTTTACGGATATACTTACAAGGAGTTGGAGGCTGTTGAAGTAGAAACAGGCTGAAATCCTGTACACTTTTTGAGAGTGAATATTATCGTAAATATAATCTCACTTATTCTGAAGTAAGCATTCACTACGTGGATTATTAATACGCAGTTCATACGAAAGGAATTTTATTATATTACCTAAATGATTCGTTTTATAACCACTCGCTCAATGAATTGTATAACAAACAATGTCAACACCTATTTTTACATTCACAGTGTATATGCTGTCGTGAAGGTCGCAGAAAATTTATTTATTCTGCTGCATAAGTCAATGGTTTACGCACGAAACCCACTACAAGTGTAACATTTGTCCTGGACGCAGAAAATAGCCCAATGATGCAAGAGTAAATCGATAGAACCCAAGCAATGTGTTCTTCTTTATAGAGCGGTAAACTCGTTAGCCAGCGATATCAGAGCACAATTATTCTGCATAGTTTTTATTACTATACATAACAAATGGAATCTCAGGTGATAACTACATTTTTACATGCAGCACTCATCTATTAACTGTACAGAAAAATACTCAAAAATGCTGCATACTACACACTTAATCAGCACTGCACAAAAGGTGAACAACTGCAACTGTTTCAACCAAGGTGAGTCTGTGTTTCCGACACAGTCAGGGGCTCTAGAGGTATTCGTCAAAGTAGCATTTCGTAGAATGTTCTCTTTGTAATAACTTTGAAAACGAAAATTATTGGATTTTAAAATCATAGGGTACCAACTGGAATGTTGATCTTGTGTAAAGAATTCATATTTTTAATTCCCGTGATATGTAGTGCCTCATATATGTGACTTCGTCGTATAAATATTTGGGTGGACAAAGGGTCTGGTACTCTATATTTGCTTGGCCGCCAAAAGTCATGCGGCTTAGCCTGAATAGTGCAACTGCCCAACTAACTTGGCTTTCTGTCGGTGTCATGCCATATGGTAATCACTTGACCTATCTCACCCAGATTCAGTGAACAGGCACTACATTTACTGCCTTTGACTTCACAACAGAGAAAATGTGAGCAGAATAAAAATTTTAATGAAAATGTTTCTGAATATTTACTCGAAAAATTAATTTTCCAACATGTACGGTTGTCTTCTGTTATTTATGTTTGGTAGCGAGGTGACTATTCTGGTCATATTGAGGTTGTTCGCCCATGTCCGCTGCCTCTTAAACTCACGTTCTCTACTTTAATTCGGTTTAGTCGTGTTACCAGGTCATCCTATCACTTGAATTTTAAGACGCTTAAGCTCAGACGCAACGGTTGACATTTGGTAACAACGATAAATAAGGGTAACTGATACGTAAAGGCTATATCAATAAAATCAGTTGGCAGTTTGAACAATTTCTGTTACTGTTAATTTTTTGAAATTGAGTTTCACTTTTCTTCCATTAAGTGAGGGATGTTTACATGTTACCATTCTTCCAACACAGCATTTAGTTCTTATGGTTTATCAAAAGCTCTCAAAATTTCACTAAGTGACTATGTTAATAGAAAATACAGAAATTCGGTATGGTTATGTGTTCTTTGTATACCAATTTAGAAGTCAAAGAGAACACAGTGAATACAACTGGAAGCATCATATCCTAAAACTAAGTTAGCCGTGGAACCATTAATGGATTCAATGATTATGATGACCTTGTGCTACATTTGTGAAACTTGGTAACACTTGACAGTTACCGTTAACTAAATTGCTCGCAGCCTCTCTTACTAAACTCATCATGATCTTTACCATAATATGTGTTTTTTGTGAACTCGACCATCAATGTGTTTGAGACCACAGGTAAGAAAAACGTCAGTATATTATGATATTATTATCCTGCGCTAATGACTATAATATCTTTGTAAGTGATCGCCTGTAATAACCATAACATATGTCGGTGTTTTGGAGACTATACTAGACAGTTTGGATTTACTGTTAATTAAACGCAAATAAATGTTTGGGCAGTAATATTATCCGGCGTATAAAACAACTGTTTTCTGACAGCTTATGCTCAAAATTACAAAAAGTTATTTGAAACTTCTTTTTCAATACCATCATTCATAAACGCCTCATTTTTACATTGACTTACATATGCTCACTCACTAGATCTTTTTTGTAGTAGAAATTTAGATACTGTAAGAAGGGCCTACATGAACATCACAACGTACATGTCAACTCAAAGAGGCTCAGGATAACTAACAAGGACACAGATGTTTCATTTCATAGCACGAAAGTTCAAAGTCAGAGTTTTCGGATATACAGAATTACGTGAGTAAAAGACTCTGACTTTCAACCAATACTGAGCAACTACTATGAATTCTCCGAAACAAACATCAAACATAATAAGTAACTAGGTATCTTACAAATAAAATCTCAACGAAAGAGAAACCCATACTGTAGCAGGCAATCCGAAAGGCTCCTGAAAAGTTAAAGACGGTAAAAATGAATCAAATCGCTTGTCGAAATTAAGAATCACTATTTTTCTACATAGTTTA